GTCAATGGATTCATCATTCGATTGGCTTAGCCAATTACCAATCAGGTGACTAGACTGACCCCCGATTTTCCCCGGCCCGGAAAATTAGCGACGACGGAAGTCTACGAAAATTAGAAAGGCAGTTAAGATCAGAACTTTCACCAAGACACACTCAACTAAACAGAACACTACTCACTACCAAATAGAATAAATATATTGTTTGTCAAAACGCATTCCTACAATTTAATCATCCTTCTCACGCGAAATCGTGGTAAGGAATAAAACGAGTCAACGCGGTGTTGAATAATCGAGTCAAGGATTTACGACCCTTGTAGGCGCGAACTGCTACGGTCCGTGCCTCATCGCGGTGTCTCGCAAACATTTATGGCTCCTTTCATTGCTCCGCGGACTATGATGTTAAGTGTTTCTGGCTTTTCGATTGGAAATAGGATGTGGTCTCGCAACTCATCTATTTGCTCCTGCGTGTAGATGCCGCTCGTAGCTAGGTTCTCTGGATTTTTGTAATGCCATGTAGGTGTGGTTAATGTGTTGATGACTGGAGGCGGCAAACTTTCTGTTGGTTTCAGGTTCAGTTTGTACCAATTCCCGTGAATTTGAAACATTACAGGTAAGAGTTCGTTACATTGTCTTGGCGTTGCGGTGCGGACTAAGATTCTGTTTTTCGGTTTCATGAAAAGCGATGAGTTTCGGACCGTAACTGGTAGCTCATTGTAGCAAAATTCTGTGTGTCGAATGTGTCATTTCACAATATAGATGACTTCTCCTGACGTGACTGCCATATATCCTGGTTGTTTAACGATGGCAAAGGCCAGTGCGTCTGGCTGAGTGTTCGCTAGGGCTAGCGCGTTTCATAGAACTTGCTACTCTAGTATGCATTGTTGGTGTACAATGTTTGTATATAGTTCGGCTAGTTGTGTGTTAATGTGTTTTTCGACATATACGAATTTACTGTTGATATATGTTAGAAGGTCTAGATTATTTACTTCTACCTTTATTCTGGTCTTGTGCATTGTTGGTGTACAATGTTTGTATATAGTTCGGCTAGTTGTGTGTTAATGTGTCTTTCGACATATACGAATTTACTGTTGATATATGTTAGAAGGTCTAGATTATTTACTTCTACCTTTGTTCTGGTCTTGAAGGTGTCTTCTTTTGTTGTCGCCAAGATAAATAATTTTGGGTATTCTGTTTTAAGCAGGTAGTAGCCGCAGAGCGGTAGCAGTGATGTAGTAGTGAGAGCGAACGTTGTGTCTTCCGATGTTAATGAGAATATTGTTGGTCCTGGGATTGAGTCAGGTGGACTGATTTTGGTGACCATTCCTTCGTAGAGGATGTCGTATCTATTGTAACGGCAGTTGTCTTCGGGAATTGCAGTCCAAAAGGTGGCTTCTTCTTAAGTGTCTTGGCACAATTCTTCTGTAACTAAGCAGTGGTGTTCGGAAGGTAGTATTAATTTTCTTGTCTTTAGTCTGATTGGCGCTCGGAAATTCCAAAGCGTGATGGTAACCGAGGCCTGAACCACGACGTTATTCCATGTTCCAAAGGTGTCACTGTACTGCGTTCCCGTGCATTGTCCATCGATTGGGAGCGTTCCTGCAAGTGCGAGGCTGTGTGTGGGTTCGGTACCGAAATCAGAAATGCTTAGTTGATTTATTTCCCTTTTCCTATTATTTCCACTTACTACACGATACCCTACAAATCCCCAAACTTTACAATTAGACACGTAGCAGCAATAAACCCATAAGGCCCACCGATGTCGCAGTACCCCCATAACAGTTCCATTGACTTTAACTTTGAACCTTCAAAAGGTATGTTCACCAGATTTACTGGTTTTATGACCTCATTGCCTACGACACGTGCCAACGCAACACTCCCTTCCTTCAAAACACGTTCCTAACTCAAATCCATTTCCTGCAACTTCCACCTTCTGTCAATCAAATTTTCTAACATGCCGCCAATCACGAGTAACAGGCAAAACACACCTATAACCACACCCTCTCCAACTTTCGTATAAAATACTCAATATCTCTCCAAATCATATCAGTCAGTATTAATTCAAGACCAGCAATCACACACTTATCTCCTGACCAATATCATTGTGAATCAAAATATAATTTATTTGTTTATTGTTAAAAGAAGAATAGTGTCATTCAACCCAAACGTCATGCCATCAAATAGATAGGCTTTCCTTTATAAAGTAAGGGAAGTCACTGTCCAAAGGAAAGGGGAAGATATCGCAAATACGATAATCTGGACGGTACAAAGTGGTCCTTCGAGCCGGATTAAGTGATAAACCAACCCAGTGCTTGTGTAGTGACAAGTAAAGGTAGCGGTCAAGTTCAAACAATTCAGTGCAACAATTAACAATGACAACAAATCAGTTAAAGGAATTCGTGGCACGACGAGGCGTTATCAAGGGGCATCTCATCCAATTCAAAAATTATTTAAATAAATACACCGGAGAGCCAGACCCCGTCAAACTATCGACAAAGTTGAAACGTCTATATAAAAGCTTCGACACATTTGAAGAAGTTTAGCAAGCGATCGAGAACCTGGACGAAGCAAATGATCACTCATTTGAGCGTGATACTATAGAGGAGCAGTACGATGACTTGGTGACAGCAGCAGAAAAAATACAGTTTCGAATACTCAATCGTGCATCTCTCCATCGACAGCATCCCACAGGTCGAGTGGAGTGAAACTCCCGAAAATTGATCTGCCTTGGTGTGACGGAAGACTGGAGCAATGGCTGACATTCAAGGCCCAGTTCACGTTACTGATCGACAGTCTGGTAACACTCACAAACACACAAAGATTACATTATTTGAAATCCGCGTTATCTGGCGAAGCAGCAGAAGTTTTAAATTCAATCGACTTAACGAATTATTAAACCAAAATTACGCGAACAAGCGATTCATTCTTTGGCGTCACAGCGAATTATTACTGGAAGTGCCACCCTTCGAGCGTCACTCAGCCAGTTCCATCCGTTGGTTCACTAATAGCATTCGACAAAACCTCAAGGCTTTAAAAAGCCTCAGACAACCCGTGAATTCATGGGATACACTGATAATATTACTTATCCTACCCAAATTAGACCGGGAAACGAGGATGGATTTCGAAAAAACACTTGTGAAATCGACTCTACATTTTTTTTTTTTTTTTTTTTCGTGGAGGTAGGCCGACTCTATGTGATAAACAATTGGCAACCAAACGGTGGCTCTCCCTCTACATTCAACAGATAATGTGTACAGGTATTTAATGTATTTTTTTAGCAATTTGTTTTTGTAATTCATCCAAAGCAATATATTATGAAATTAAATTAATCACTCAATAAGTATTAACATTAGATTGTTTCCTCGATATGGCCATGGTAGTCATCAGTGACTGGAGTGCCTCAAATGTTTAGAATAATTAAAATAAAATAAATGTTGTCAACTAAAAATTTTGAACGTCATAGCTAGCTAGACATTATTTTCAATTGAAAAAAAAAAATTATAAAGCATAATACTATAATCCTATGCTTAAAATGTATTTTCTTGTGGCCGCCTGACAGCAACCTGTAAATCTGACGAGGAAACCAACTGGTGTAGCGTTACACGCTTGACTGACTGCGAGCGAGATAACATGGGCGCAGCAATGACGCAAACCTAGGCGTAGGACCATCTATACTGTCACTTGTAGAATCCAAACTTACTGACTCTTGTAGAGAATTTACTGTATATTGTTGTCGATGTCGATGTCTATTGTTTCTGTCGTTTGGCGAGGGCCGATCATATGAGTTCACCGACCCGGCCGTAACATCAGGTGTTTCAGATTGCCTGGAAAGGTCAGGATTGACACACTGACCCTCTTCCGTCGAAGCAGATTAATTCGTGGACGGCGCGACGTCTTCTGTTTTTTTCCTCACTGTCCCGGCGGACCGCACGACGTTGGCCGAGGGCCGATCATATGCGTTCATAGTGCGACTTTCACAATCTTTAACCGTTAGTAGCTCATAGCAACATTAACCAATTTCGATAAAATTTTCAGCGTGTGTATAATTGACATAGATCTACAAAACGTATTTTTTAAATTTTGATTACGAGCTCAGATAAAAAAGTTATAAAAACGACCTTCGCTATTTTCTTTGCGATTCCGAATAATTGCAGTTTTTTGCAAAATTTTTTTACACGTCATCTAATAAACTGATCTTTCTAACTTCTCAAAAAAACTCAAGTCGTTTGGCCCAATTTTAAAGAAGTTATTCCATTTTATAGGGTGTATGAATACTTTTGTCCTTCACGGTATGTATTGTTATACAAACATCGGAATGACGGC